GGGAATGAGATGGGGAGAAAGGTCCAAGAGAGAATACTAACTGTGGCTGCTAGGTGTTTGGGTCCAGCCATCCCCCAACCCCCAGAGCAAAGAGGACTGCTTTTATCAGACTTGGTTTTATTTGCTGAGCAACTAACATTGTGGGGCAGTGGTCTCCAGAGAACTGGATAGACAGGAAAACGAGGGGAGGTACTCTCCAAATGAAGCAGATTCACACTCATTCTCTCTTGTTCACTCCCTTGTATTTTTCAACTCTCTTTGTATGTTCCCAGCTTTTCTACTCTCTCCATCTCCCTCTCCACAGAGCATATGGGAAGAAAAATGCTGAACTCAAATATGAACCTGAATATGTATCCAAATGGACACAACTCTCAGTGAGTATTTAAAGAAGCAAAGGCTTTGAGTTCTATGAGGCAGGGTGCCTCACTTGACAGAGGGGGTGGGGGAAAGCATTTTTGTTTCTGCACAAAATTATGAAACCTATGGAATACTATTGCATCGCCCGCTGGGTAGGATGGAAGGGGGGTGTTCTTTCTCCTAGATTTGTGAAAAAAAGGATTTTGCTCTGAACAAAAGAGAAAGGGCACAGATGAGAGAATGGGTTCAAACAAATAAACAAGCCCCTCACTTCTTTTAAGAGTTTTCCAATCAGTTGCCCCTTTAGGAAAGTTTTACTAAAAACCTAATAAATTACCTTTCCATTTATTTGGATGTCATGAAATAAACATATGATTTCATAAACATATGAAATAAACATAGATAAGAAGTACCTAGGAATAGTCATGAATATGAAAATCACCAGAACATCTATATCACAAGGGTAGTCAGGTACAACTCTCTCTCTCTCTAATGGGAAACAGTTTTGATTTCTTTTTCTGTTGTAACAAGAGAACCATCTAAGAGTTCACATGATAGCAAGAGGATGTTTTCCATCCCAGGTTTTCCTCAAGAGCTATCCAAGACTGGCTCTCCCTTAATGTTGAGGCATTTGTTATGACTTTTTTATGTTACTGCTGATGAAGGGATGAAGAAATTAAAACAGAGGATGCTTCCAGGCATTTAGGAAGAGGCTTGACCAGCTATATTAACTCCTTATTACCCTAAAAATAGTCTGCCATTTCCTGCTGATGCCTGTTCCCTGCCACTCCAGGGCTGCATTTATCCTCCAATGGTCAGGAGGTCCCAGTTTCCAAGGACTGGCTTGATTAAAGCTGACTTCAAACACCCTATCCCTTCCCCTTTTGCCTTGCTACATTTCCCAGCAGGGCAAATCTGGGAGACTCAGCCTTGGTTTACCCAACAGGCTAAAAATACCAACATCACTATTCATTTTGTTTTAATCTAAGTGTCTAAACATTATTGAGTTATTTTCTTCCTGGACTGAAAGAAAGAAGAATATTTAGTGTATTAGGGAGTGGAGTCCTATGCTTAATAAAAGAGGAGGAAGGAAGGAAGGGGAGAAAAGAAAAGAAAAGAAAAGAAAAGAAAAGAAAAGAAAAGAAAAGAAAAGAAAGAGGAAAGGAAAGAAAAAAAAGAAAAAGAAAAAGGAGGGAGGGAGGGGGCGGGCGCCTGGGTGGCTCAGTTGGTTGAGTATCCGACTTCAGCTCAGGTCATGATCTCGCGGTCCGTGAGTTCGAGCTCCGTGTCCGGCTCTGTGCTGACAGCTGAGAGCCTGGAGCCCGTTTCGGATTCTGTGTCTCCTTCTCTCTCTGACCCTCCCCCATTCATGCTCTGTCTCTCTCTGTCAAAAATAAACTTTAAAAAAAAAAAAAAGGAAGGAAGAAAAGAAAAAGAGAACAGACAGACTTCTGTATACAGGGATGGTAGAAACATGTGTTGTTTCCCCCCTTGAATCCACTGTATGCCCAACATATTGGCTCCCTCTGTTAGGAAAGCTTTGGATGCTCTCACAGTCTGGGAATGGGACAGAGAGAGGCAAAATGTGTCGAATTTGAGGACCTGATTGGCTTTGCTTTCATAACCTGGAATCCAGGTTTGAAAAGATTCCCCTAGAGCAGGGGCCTCTAGTCTAGAATATGCTTAATTAATATTCTCCAAATTGGACACTCTAGAAAAAGTCTGCGAAGCTCCCAGTGGGCATCACTGGCCTAGTAAGGCCAGTGACATCCGTGTTGGAGTTTCTTAGCTACCTGTTTTTGGGACCCTGAACTGGAGAGATGAGGGAGGTGTTTCCAGACTTTAGTGAGCCTCCTTCTGCATGTGGAGTTTTGGGGGTCCTGAGAGGGTTTGGGTGGGCCTGGGAGGGTAGGGTGCTAATATGGGCATTATGTTTTATAACTAAAGGAAATAATGCCATAGTCTCAGTGCTTCCTTGCCTAGTCAGATACTTTTGCCTGCCCCTGAACATACCATCACTGACTTGGGCTAAGAAAGGGAAAGAGGCAGCTCTCTTGTTCCACTCCCAAGCTTCCCCAGGTGTATGTGTTGGGGGAGGGGAAAAAAGTGCCTGGGTTTCCAGGACATCAAGCACCCTTTCCCTACACAAGTACACAAACAGAAGTTTACACTGAATGAAGGAAAGACTAGCAGGAATTTTTTCCACCAAGGTCTCCTCTTGAGAAGGAGGTTCTTAGCATGGCTATGTAAATCAATACCGAGTTATTTCTTTGAATTCAAAGGCTATTTGTTGAGGTCTAATTTCCTTAGAATTAACGTGATAACTGAGCCCAACTTAGCAACCAGACCCAACCAAGGGCCTGCCCTGGGTTGAATGCACTTCTCCAGGGTGCAGAGGCTGCAAACCCTCGTCAGCACCCAAAGGGAGTGTGCTAGCATCCCTCTACAGTTAAAACAGGGGATTCTCTGTCCCAAAGATCCCATTCCTCCCACCCGTGGCCTTGGGCTCGACCCACGCGGTCTTATATTGACAATCGTTATTTTTTTTCTAAATAACGTTGACAGCTGGGATATAAGTCCCCAAACCTCAACACCTTAAAAAGCAAAAAAAGCAATATAGGCCTCAAAGTCTGCCTTCTGTAACTTCTTAGTGAATATGACCCTCGCCTACTTCAGGATCTAAAAGAGCCTTTGGCCTCCTACTCCGACTGCCGGCTTCACGTCTATTTTGAATGATAAAGACTGAGCGGGACTCGCCTGCCGTCCTCCTCCCACCCCCACGAACTGGCCAGGGTTCCCCGGCGGGCAAGACAAAGAAGTAGGAGCCAGCGCCCGGCGGGCGGCCTGCCGAGCGCTGGGGCCTGGAGGCCCTGAGACGTGCGCCTTTGCTGCGAGGCCCTGAAGAATCCAAGAGTTCGTGCCTCTCAGAAGGGCCGGAGGTGCGCGTTGGACTGGAACAAACGAGGGCTGACTTGCCTAGGCGCATTACCACCGCCCACGACGCGCGAAGGACTCGGCAGCCGAGATGCCGGGTTCGGTCGGAGAGAAGCGACCGCAGGGAGCGGCCCCTTCGGCAGACAGCCACTGCGCAGCGAACTCCTCCAGCCTAGGCTGCTGGTGGCAGAGGCCACACGTGGCGGCCACTCGCTGAGCGCCACCTTGGCGCACTGTGTGGGGCCAGACTAGCTCTCTGGCTAGCTGTTCCCGGAGTGCCCGCAAAGCCGGAAGCTCAAGCAGTGTAGCATTCAATCCAGTACAGTCGCACCGAGACCTCAACCCAGGCGGAGAGACCCATCGATCGCTCCGCTCTCCAGCCCTTGACTGACTGGGCTCAATGTGGTTCTCAGCAGGACCTTTACCACTGGCAACAACTGTTACTTCGGTGTAACTGCACACTTGCTCCTCTGGAACACAGTGATGTGGTTTTATCCTCTAATGGGGGTGGGATGAGAGCCCTGCAGCTTCAACCCGGACAATTCTAGCTCTCCAAGCTTCCTCAGGAATTAACAAGCGGAGGAAACCCTTTGAATAGAGGCTGCTGAGCCCTGGATCTGGTGTTCAGTGCGGGGACCTTCTCGGGGCCCGCCACGACCCGACCCGTTCCGGGTGCGGCCAGAGTTGGGGAAGCCAGCGAGGAAATAGGTGCACCTGCGAGCATAAAGAGAAACATAGACATGCACGGGGTTGTGTGTGTGTGTGGGGGGGGGTATGTGGGGAAGAAACGCCTTCACCGTGTTAACAGCAAGCTGCAGGGTATAAAGCAATAAAATTGCCACGTCTACCTGCTGGCTTTGAGGACATCACAAACAAGCCCGGCGCGAAGCCCGGGTGCACAGAGAGCCCTCCAGGGAAGGGGGGGGGACCTTTTCTTTTTCTGACCTCCCGTTTGCTCCCCCCATATACACACCCTACACACATCTCCCCCTTCCCTGGCCCACCTTTCATTTTCCTGGAAGGTTTTTTTGTTGTTGTTTTAATTCACTGCCGATTTGTAAACGCGTGGATCGGGTTACTGGTTCGCGTGTTAAAGTGCACCTCTTGTTAAAAGAAGGGGAACAAGGCAATCCACTTAAAAATGAATTCAGAGTTACTGAACCGGCTCCCGAGCCTCAAGAAGTTAAGCGCGGCGGGCTGGGGAAGGGAGGGGAGAGGAGAGTAAATGCTGCTGTCCTGAGAACCCTGGAGAAAGCCCACGGGCAGCGAACTTCAGGTTATGTGATAAAATGGAGGAAGGAAGGAAAGAAAAAGGCAAACTAGCCTGGCGACTCCTGGAGACCCCGGGCAGGGCGCTGGGTAAATCAATTAGCATAAGCCGATGCTGCAGAGGTGCGCACAGTATGTCAATACAGTCCAAGCTGCTACTGCTGCAGCCACCTTTCCAGGAGTTACCGGGGCGAGCGGTACCGCTAAATTGTCAATTTCTCGGGTTCCTTAGGGGTCCAAGCCAATAGGGTGCAAAGAAGTCCCCAGGCGTCTTCCCAAAGACCCAGACTCGTTCCTACACATGTTGAGCTGGAGATGTTAGATTGTACACTTCTCCGTGTGGTCAAAGGCTCGCTGGCTGGGTCTAGTCGCAGATTGAACGCTGGCGCCGAGCCCATGGGGTCTGCATGTCTTGCCCACCCAGTCCCGATCCACTGACAATGCAGACTTCCTTCGCCTCCCCGCAGTTCCGGGACCCGACTCCTGGCGCTGCCCGGCCTGCCCTCCTCAGCGCCTGGTCCCCAGTCCGGCTCTCCTACCTGGTGGCCGGGCCTGAGCCTCGCTCCGGGATTCCGCTGTCTCTCCTCAGCTGCCTGGATCTGAGTAGGTCTGGAGACTAGACGGAGAAAGGCTAGATCCACAGCCCTGGGCTGCTCCGAACTTAATGTCTTTCCCCAGTCCATCTTTGAAAGAGAAGTGGTTCTACCACCTGGATGTGCGGATATAAATCCCCTTGCAAATAATAAATGGATTAATAATAACAAGGTATGAAGTTCTTTTTATAGAAAAAAAGGAGAGAATTGAAACTAAATGCGGCAGTTAGACAACCATTTTGATAAGAGGATAATTGAGGCGACACTGGTGTATAATTAGAGGATAATTTATGCTATATCCACTTTTATTCCACCTCCCAAAATAAACCCAGTCCATAATCATTACAGGCAAATTGTTCTGAATTTTATAGCAGCAATTTGAACAAAGTACTGCAGTTAATCATGGGAGATTTTTGTGTATTCCTGATTAGAACTCTAATTGCCTCCTTCCAGAAAGTAAAAATAACTGTAAAACGACTCTATTTTTATCATTAACAATGTTGACAATAAAATAAAATCAATTGGAATTGTAATCGAGAGACAAATTTAGGACGAAGGCACTTTTACTTGGGTAGTTTATATTGTAATCAAGATTTGCCAAACCACTAACCGCATGTATCATTTGCATATATTTGAAAGCATTACAGTAGCTTCTGTTTTCAATAGGAAAAAATGCATTACTGTCAGTCCTCCAACGATTCGCTTTCAGAACAGACTGCGCGTTCTGGGGGGGGAAAGTTCCCCCTTTCTTGTTCAATACATAGGAACTACGGCCTGAAACGGCAGGAACCTCGCCAAAACAGGGTCTGATTTTTCTTTTTCTTTACACTCCCTCCCCCCGAACCAAGGGGTGGTGCCCAGGTGTGGGGGTCTTCTTTCCTCTGTGGTTTCAATAAAGTACGTCTAGAAGAATACACGGTGACGGGGCGCTCCCCCGGGACTATAGTGGGACTGGGGAGGGGGTTGTGGAGAGGAGGTCAAGGGAGGGGACCTTGCTTTAAATGAAGAGGGCACTGCTTCTGAGAACAGGCAGCCTGCTGGGGTGCAAGGGGACTGAGAGGGAGCGGCTTCCAGCCAGGCTGTTCCAGGTCTGCGCTACGGGGAACTGAGGCTCCGGGTTTGGGGGCGCGAGCTGCGCCCGGGAGGCGTCGGCGGCCGGCCCGGCCGAGGCACCTCCCTCCCCGGCAGCACTGAGCGCGGAGCCGCGCGGCCCCCGGCTGCAGCTCCGGGCTGGGATTGGAGTTGCCGAAGGTAGGCGAAGAACTCGGCGAGCGGCGCACACACCAGTAGAAGCCGTGCGCCTGTGACGTCAGGGGGCGACTGACCAATGGGGAGGCGCTGCCCTTTGGAGACAAACCATTCGACTCGTGGCGTCTGCATCAAGTCTGAAAGCAGACGCGCAACTTTCGCAGAATCCACCTTAAAATCTCTGCCTTAAACTGCACCAGCCCCCAAAAAATCCAAGGGGGGAAAGAAGGGGGGGAGAGCAGATTCCCCCCTCCCCCCTCTCCTCTCCCATCCCTCCCCCTTCCTCCTCCCTTTGAGTTAACAAGGCCCTGCTCACTATATCTCTTTATATTAAAAAATATATATATTAGAGAAGAGCGAGGGAGAGGGAGAACCACCTCCACCCCCTCTTTTTTTTTTTTTAATTTTTTATTTATTTAT